TGGGGGAAATTGGCATAAGGAGGGGGGAAAAGCAGGGGCAGAACTTCATAAACACAGATGTTTGGTTTCCTCCCCTAAAGCCCATATTTTTCTTTCTTCATTAGTCCAAGACCTTCCCTTAAGGTCTAGCTCCAAAAAATCTGTAGGAAATTTACCCTAAATGATTAGGGTTTCAACTGCTTTCTCTTCTCTTGGTAACCAGCATTTTACCTTTGCTGTTGTCAGGAGTTGTGTGTATCCAAAATGATCCAGAAGTATACACTGATTCCACATGAAGAGGTGCCTTCAATTTTAAGGGCAGACATTTGAACACCAGTATCTACTAGAAAAGTTACAGGGATTTTGTGGGTACCAACAGGACAGCTTATTAATAAGTTTCCTCTGTAGTTTTTGGTAAGCCCTTTGTCCCCTGGCTTACCTTCTTGGGATGAAGATAGGAGTTTCCTGTCACATTCCCTTTCTGTGATCCCTTGAGGGAAGGACTGTAGCAGGGATAGCTTTTACTGTTATCTCTCCTTTGCTGGCTTTCTCAATTTAATATCTCTAATTTATTAGTGGGTTGGCCATCCATTAAGGTTTTTGGGATCCCTTTGTGTAAGCCCACATTCCACAGGGTATTTCTTTTTCCTTGTCTTCTTCCCTTGTGTTAGCTCATCCTCCTTGCCCAGGGGAGGACATTGCCTTTTGGAATCTTACAGGAGGCACAGTTGTTTTGCACTGTGTGCTGAGTTGATTTAAAATCAGTTGTATTTGGAGGTATTAGGTCATATTTTCTTCCATAATTAATTCTTGTGCCACCTACTCCCAGGTCCAAATTTTACTTTATTCTCAGTTATGTTTGGGGGTAATAGCTGCCTCCAAGGTGGCTACAGCTCTTACCTCTTTCATGAGGCTTTCTATTTGTCCTTTTTAGCTGGATGCCTATGGCTTTTGTAGCTTCGGGGTGGCCTCTGATAAGAGGTATCATTATTTCAGGGTCTACAGACATTATCATAGGGGATTCATACAATGGTGTTAACTTCCTATCATGCATCATTTGTAAACAAGCAGCTTTTTCATGCTTTCTACAATCTGATTAATGTTTCCCACTACAGCCAGGGGATCTCCTCTCTCCAGTGGTTTGAGTCCACCAGCCCAAAAAGCATTAATTTCATCAAAAAGCAATGTTTTGCAAAGCACTTTACTGACAAAAAAAAAAAAAAAAAAAGGAAAAGTCATAAGGGAATCTTGCTTTGTTTCTCTAACACAAAATGACCAATCATAAAAATTAGCAATTTGTTGATTTATTTGAATCAGCACTCTAGTTTTAAGGGATTCATGTCCCATGATTAAATGCTACAATCCACTTTATTATGGAGGAGCATTCATCTCTGTGTATTGTGGAAAGAATTTCAGGTTCAAATATTCCCCAAAATATAATTAAAACTCAAAAGAAGTTATATGTTAATACAAAAAAATATATATATTATACATTCACTGTATTAACTGTAAAAGAGGCAAAGAGAGAGAAAGGGGAAAGTAGAGAAAAATTGGAAAAAAGCTAAGATTACTTTACAAGCATAGGATAATTTACCAAACACACTTGCTATATTTTCATTGAGGGGGGTGGGGGGCGAAGCATGTGGTCCCTGCAGCTGACTTTGGTCCACTCTTCTTGCTCACACCAAAGGATGCAGGAGTAGAGGAGGGTTTCCACAAGTCACCTGTGTGTCACAGTAGGTTACTGCTTTCCCCAGGCTGGAGGCACCCAAGGCTTGGTGGTGTCTCAGCTTTTGAAGGCTTTAGGTTCTTTTCACAGCTCTGAAAAGGCTTGGAAGGTAGCAGTGGAGGGGAGGTGGGGGGGAAGGCGATGGCCAGAGTTTCTTTCATTCTCTTCCTTCTCTCTAGTTTTGCCTTCCTATTTACTTTCCTATGTCGAGGCAGGCTGCTCTTAGTATTCAGATGTTCAAAGAGATAGTGATAACGATGAAGCACTTTTTGAGGCATTATTTTTACTAACAGGTCCTTATAACTTAGGAACATTACAAAACCTCCTATTTAATTGATCAAATGAAAAATTACTTTTAATTGCTCATGTTGGTCGTGGGGAGAAAAAAAGATAAAATGGCTGTGAATAGGCCATTTTTTAAGGAAACAGTAGCATTCTTCTGCTGGGCTTCAATTTCATCAGTACAGGGATGGTAAATTAGGCTGCTGTGCCATCAGAGATGTCACTCAGACTGTGACTCCTCTTTGCTGAGCAATATACAGTGCTAGGCTTAAAGGATGCTAATTTTTGGGTTTTTTTTTTTATTTCCCATTAAAATGTGTCAGCATTTCCCAGGCTTGGAAACAGATTCTTTTCAGAGCAGTAAAGTCAGTCACATCCTATCTGTACTCCTGCTTTGTGTTGTTAAGCCCCTTCATGTCTAAACATGTAGATTTTCATGGCTAATTCATTGCTGATGTTAATTTGGATCTTTTCAGGACTCCACACTTCACTCTTGCTGTATTGTGCTGTATTGGGTCTGGCTGAAACAGAGTTAATTTTCCCTTAGCAGCCCTCACATGCTGTGCTTTGCATTGTAGCTGGAAAGGTGTTGATAAAACACCAGTGTTTTGTCTGCTGCTGAGCAGCACTGGTGCTGTCTCTCTAACATTCTCTCCCATGCCTCCTGTCAAGGGACTGGGAGTGGGCAAGGTCCTGGGAGGGGATGCAACTAGGCCAAAATAGCTGACCCAAATAAACCAAATTCCATACCATATGACATCAGCTCAGATACAAAACTATGAGGAAGAGGAGGAATGGGGGGCATTTGTTATGCTACCATTTTTGGCTTCTGGAGCAACCACTCCCGAAGCTGAAATCCTGCTTCCTGGGAAGTGGCTGAATAACACTTGCTGATGGGAAGTAGATATTGTTTTCCCTTTAGTGACAGCTGCAGCCAGTCTGAAGCTGCACAGATAAATTTGGCTATAACAGAGCTCCAGACCTGACCAGTCTGGAAGCAAACAAGTCTCTGGATGAAACAATAATAGGTTGGATTACAACTCAATCAGGGGACCCCGGCCACTCCCATTCTATCCTGAACACAGACATCTAACTGGCCAGGGAGCTGGGCAGTGCTGAGACCCCGACCAATCAGGTGGGTAAGTGTGGGAATTTTGAAACCCCTATAAAAGGTCGTGTTTATCAGTAAATCTTGGCTGATTGTCGCATGATCTTCGGTGAGTCCTGTCTTGTGCCCGTCTCCAAACTGTGACCCCAATGTAACACCCTTTTGCTTATGCATGAGTAAACCTCTACTTTTCTTTTGTTTTATACTTTGCTTTTGCAAGCTGACTTATCTCAACCTACTAGTTGGTTTGCATCGTATTTTCTCTCCATTGTCCTGCTGTAAAGGGGAGTGATAGAGCAGCCTGGTGGGTACCTGGTATCTAGACAAGGTCAACTCACTACATATGCACTGAAAATATTCACCAACTCCACTGGTAAAGGTAGACCTGAGTCATACATATTTCTTGCCATGTAGTTGTTGTGACATACTTTACTGGGGATTTTATATTAATATTGTTATTTGAACTATTGGTTGTTTATATTTTAAATATTATCTTTTCTCACTGATAAATTAATGGGATAAAAGCAAGTACACTTTCTAAGTAAGAGGCATCCCATTACTAATATAGCAGACCTTTTGTACAATTTAATATGCAATTATTTATTGTAAGCTCATTGGTTACATCTTGAGAGTATACATTCACATACATTTGTGAATGGACTGCATTCTCATGAAAGATGCTGGGTCAATCACAGTGGCAAATGGAGTTCATACCAAACTAGTATGGTCCTCAGCTGTCTGCCTAAGTGAGTTAAAAAGATGACTAAATTCAGTCTGCCAGGCTAGATAATCTTTAGCCTCTCTGCTTAGTTCCCTAAGGGTTCAGCTGGCAGTGCTACTCCATCTAGCCCAGAGTTATTAAGACAAGCAAAAAGTGACCAGTTCTATCTTTTGTTTTTTGGTAGATATTTTGGTAGATATTCTACCAATACCCATTTCTCTACAAATGCTGAAGGCTGTAGCTGGTTGTGAAAAAAATTAGTGTTTGGATCATTGAGGCAAACTATTAAAAAAGTCACATGATGCTCTTCTACCTTGCAGTAAGCATATGCCATCGAATAACATCATTCCTTTTACTCAATTTATACCTCCCTGCTGTGATTTTGAATCTTTACAACCTCTCCTGACTGATTACCTAGGACTCAATTTAAAAAGCAGATGTGAAAATAAATTATTTGTAGGAAAAGGATCAACTTTTCAACAAAATATCAATATCAATATCAAATTCAACTACAACAAAATATCCAACTATTATATCTTCCACCAAGCCAGTGGAGACAATTGTGTACACTGGTGTAACAGGTGGGTGTTGCACTTCCCTAATGTTTCTCCTCTGAGATCTCTGCCCTCCATCCTGTTTGAAGTGTCTGCCAACGCTGAGAGCCCTAAGGAGTAAATTTTAATTCTACAGTAAATTTATCTTTTCCTCCCTACAGACACAAGTCATGAGCAGATACAGGCAGAGGAAATTTTTGCTTTGCATTTCAGGGGCTAGAGTTGAATCCTTGCCCTCTCACCTTCTCCATCTATCCCATCAGCTCTGCACATGGAAATTTTCACTGTGGTTGGTATTACTCCAGGAAAGGAAAGCTGGACAAATGAAGTAAAGTGTCAGGCAAAAAAAGCTATTTGAATCATTAGTTGATGTTATACTACTCAGAACTACCACTTCTAGTGCCAGGTGCTGTGTGAGTACCACACTGTGAAAAGCTAGATCTGATCTGAGGTGGATTCCTCACTGACAAAAATGCACTGAAGCTACTTGTAGTAAACTAACAGAATCCTCAAAACCTGTGTAACTGAAATTTCTGCCATCATCTCCAGTGATGTTTGCTGGGAATTATGAGTAAGCAGGTAAGCACTTGATAATAGTTTAAATTCAAGTGTACAATTGAGAAAATTATTTATAAAGATGAAAGATCTTTTTTAACGTGCTGCCACTTTGAATGACCCATGATTATTTACACTGTATTATTGATGTATCACTGTAATCTAACTGTGGATTGTGTCTCCATCCTTTTCTTCATCTTCCATAATCACCGTTTGTTCTTCTTCTATAAACAGCTTAGTGCCTTAAAAAGAGAAGAACACAACAAACAAACAAACAACAAACAACAAACAAACAAAATAAAAGGTGAAAAGAGGAGTTGATTTAATGTACTTTTTAGAAAATATAAGGCTAAAGAGAGTTTTTCAGTTGTTTATTTTTTTATTTTAATGTCGTTTTCCAGCATCATGTGAGTTATCCTCATTTCTTTTTGGCATTTCAGTCTCCTAATACATAGTGAACTAGAGCTGAATCACTGCATTTTTAGCTAAAATTATTAAGCACTATTAAGTCCAGCATATTTTTGATACCTTTAAAAAGAGACTGATGTTTCTTTTGGGAACCTGTTTGTTAGAAAGATTTGGGTGGCTAAATAAGGGAAAGAGCTTGCATGATGAAGCAAGTACTGTAATTAATCTTTGTGGTAGAAACAGTTTTTGTGGATATGTATGTTTTCTCTATGTATATAGCCATAATACTTAGATTTTGCAAGTGCAGGTGACAAAAGAGATGTTAAAATACCCACATGACAAGTGCCATCTCCACTGAAATGATATAGTATCAGTAAATTGCAAAAGCTACTGAATTAAGAACAATGTGAAAATAGACTTGGATTGTAGATTGTGCATCCCAGAAATTTATCTCTTCTCCTTTCTCTGTGTCTTTCTTTCTCTTTTTCTCTGTTAAACCAGTAAGTCTGCCTTTGGGGATCTGGAGGGTTTTGTAAAATACCAAGGTATAACAAAAGTTGTAACTGCTCTCCACATCAAAAAAATAAGAGTGATGCAAGAACAACACATTAAGTACAAAATGTTTTTGAAACCTATTTTAACATAGGTTAAATATTTTAACATACTGTGCTGGGCTTGCCTGTTTCCAATAAAAATCAATTGACCTCTGTGATGGATTTTATGCCCACATGCCTTGGTGTGGATGTTAACTGTCTATAACCAGGATGAGGGACACCATTGCTTTGAGACCAATGAAATCTCTCCTTTTAAATTTGATCTCCTACTGGTGGCTAGCCAGCCATGCTGTTCTGTCAAATCAACTTGTTTTGCTTCTTTCTGCATCAACCATTCTTTCAAGAGAAGGCTTTCAGTCTTGACCAGGTCTGAAAATAGGATAATACCACAGAGGAAGATTTTCTTCAAATCTAGAGTCTTTTCAGAGGAGACAAATTAATGAAAATATTGACCTATACTGCACTTCATTTAAGTTAGCTCCATCTTTATTTACATGCAGTTCTTGTGAACTAGCTGGTTTCAGCAGCACTATGAGATAAACTGAAAGGCATAAATTAATGTAAATTTGAAACACAAAGCACTTCATTTGTTCAAGCAGCAATTAAGTAACTATTGCTGTTGACAGCAAAGAATGATGCCATTTTATGGAGATGGATGTAAATATTCCCAAACAGACTTCTATCCCTATAGGCAACCTAGGCATATACAGGCATGGTTTTTTTCCTTTTGTCTTTGGGGTTTGGGTTGTGTGTGCTCCAAAGGGGAGTGTGGGTTATTTGTTGTTGGTTTTTACATCCTGGACCATTTGAGGAACAGGGAAAACATAACTAATATATGCTTAAAATGTACCTCCAAATGTGTGACAAAATCCAATCTATGTGCATTTGCTATTGAGAGAATTACAGAAACAGTCTGCTAAGATGCTGCCTGTCTGTACAGAGCTTTTCAGATCCTGTATTCTGGATCTGTTTTCCAGTGATTAACTGCCTGTGGCAGACTTATGCTTGTACCAGGCAAAGTAACCTATGTATTTAAATGCCTGAATTCCATTCCCTTCCTGTTCTAAGGATGCGTATTTACTTTTCAAGATACATAGCAACGTACATCAATCTGCTGGTTGAAATTCACCAATGATGGCTCCATGATTTTCTATGAAAGGCCTTTGGTTAAAGGCTGGTCCAATATTTGCTACTTATTTACTTTCAGATTTATTCCATCTGGTAGTGCACACAAAGAAACTAAGCTTTTGTGGAACTGCTGTGAAAAACAGAACCTGAGTTGCAGACTTGGAGACCTAAGAACACCCAGCAGGACTATGTGAGCTAAGTAAATATAGACAAACCTTTCTGTCCTGTCTCCTTATTAGTTGTGCTGAAGTAAGCAGCACTCAGTGCTACACGGTATGGATGTCTTGGAGCGGCTACCTAGAACAGAGGCTAGACAGAGTTAAGAGAATAAAGTAGGCATTTATTAAAGGCCTTCAGTAGCTACACCTTAGGCAGTGTAAAAACCTCACAGAGGCTACACCCAAGATGGATGGTGGTCACAGGTTTTTCAGACAGATATAAGTTTGGTCTATTTGCATGTCAGGGGTTAATTCTCCAATTACAGCTTCAGGTAATGAAGCCATATTTCCCCATCTTGCTCCGCCCAATTCACTTTTGTTTATATATCTCAGGGCCTGAGGCTGTGGTGTGTGCTTGGATCACAGGCCCAGAGGGATTATTTTGTCTAACTAAAATGTGAAGACAGTTAACTACACTTTATATGGAGTTTGGAGTTATGCATTAATGCAGCACAGGTTTTGAAAAATATAAAAGCTAAAATCTTAAGGCATAAGTATCTTTTGTGACCTGATAATGAGGATTGTCACTATTTCTAATATTTCCCCTTCAGATGCCCTGCAAACCACTAGGAGATACCAATTCAAGAAACTCCACTTAATTCTAGTAAAAGAGCTTAATTAATAGAGTGTTCTCTTGAATAGCTGTCCACACAAATACTTTATTGTAAATGCAGCTAAAATGGAAGATGTGTTATCCCTCTTTGTTTTGACCAGCACTCCTAGGACAGTCCCTCTCCCTTTGGGTGGCCAGAGAGATTTTCTGTCACAAACAAAAGCAAGTCAAAGGTACCATGAAGAAAATTAATGAATCTACTGGGTGGCATGTGGTCCAAGTGAGAAGCAGAATAAGTTTTACACCTTGCAAGCACCCAATCCAATTGGGAAATGCAGATAAAGAAAGGGGGCTACAAAATTAGTTATCTGAAATCTCTACAAGGGTCAGGATTCTAAATGTATTCAGCCTTCAAACTTCTACTAATTGGCACGGTTAATGTTGTGCCATGTCCATATACATGAGTCATGGGCAGATGTCTCCTTCAGTGGCAAGCTCTCCTTCAGTCACCCAACACCTTGTCTTTCTGAAGGCAAGAAGACCAGAAGAATTAGACCAGAAGACAAAATATAATCAGATTTCTAATGGTCATTTTTTCTGCATCACTTGACAGTAAATGGCTTGAATCTGATCCAAGCCCGTAGTCAGCTCAGGAACACTCTATTGTCATTCCCACTTAGCATTATATAGTCTGTTAACTAAATTAAAGGCCTTCAGGCCTGTGGATTTGAGCTAGAATGTAAATACATGTGTAAATATGGGAATGCGGTTCCTGAAATGTGGCTGACTGAGGTTTCCTAATCAAATGAGAGATAACTAGTAAAACCAGTTTCAAACCCTCATTCTCTCTCAAGCCCAGAAAACCAGTTAAGGTGGCTCCTTTGGGAAAATAACACACCTTCATTGAAAACCTCTGGGTGAGAAGAATGAAAGTTTAACCCTTCACCTCTTGCCTTTCCCAACTCAGCTGCAGGAGCTGTCCCTAGGCAATCTGTAGATGTGCTATCTTGCTGTTTTTCTGATTTGTAGCCCAGGAGGTATGGCTTAGATCTAGGTAGCACCTGACAAATAGATGATTTAAGAAAAATTCTTCTGCCTAGTTTTTAGCTTACTAACAGAAACAGTCATGTTTTTGTGAGCCATTGTGGTTCTAGAGTCTACCTAAAAATTGCAAGTACTTGCAAGTTCTGCTGGGAAATTATGATTACATTATATTTACCCTCTGTTTCCTTTAGCCAGATCCCTTGGCAAATATTAACAGAACAATCAAATAAACAATCCTTAAAATAGGTCTGCAGAATGAGTTGCATTTCATAATACACACAGCTAGGAAAGCAGAGGTAGGGAGGCTAAGTTATTTATGTAAAGAGCAAACAGAGAAAGACTAGCTTACAAATGTTTCCCAAATCAAACATGTTTCTCACTCCTTTAAACCCAGAATTTCTAAACTGCATTCAGTAAAGCACATTTTCTTCACAAGTTGTCAGAGGCATCATATCAAAGAAGTTTTATACAAATCACTACCATTTTGAGTTCCCATTTGTATTCCCTTTCCATTGTTTTGAATTAAAATGCTGATTTTCCCTTGAAATTGCTAGTGGTCCATGGAAAGCTTATAACCTCTTCTGTAGCCTTCTCTGGGCTACATCACTCTCTGAGTTTTGAATCCTGAACTCGACTGGGAACATCTGGAGTTCATCAGTTTGCAAAGTGATTAATTGGTAATGATCTTGCTATTGATTGTGGTAAGCATTTGATACACTACTAGTATGGGTCCATCTGAGAGCTGGCAACCTCTGTTTGGGTCTTGCATTTCAGCTGTCTCTAGCATCTGCTCTAAAAAGGTTGGTTTATGTGCTATAACTAGGTAATCAGAATTACATAAATATTCTTTTCCTTCATCACTTCTTAATTTAAATAAAAGAGGGGACATGATCATAACGCACAGTGCGTCTTTATTTAGTATACGTTCCTAAATTCTTACTCCTGACTGTACCCAAAAAGCAGGTTAGCTCTATTCAAATGATCCATGATCGTCCTTCCCTTCCCTTCCCTTCCCTTCCCTTCCCTTCCCTTCCCTTCTATAGGATGTATTGCACATCATGCCAGAAGCACAGAATTATCATTAAGGTGCTGCTAATGAGAGGTTCATCACCACTTGGCTTCCTCAGTGCATGTCAGGGACTGCAGAATGAGGAGGGGATTGATCAGTAGAGCTTTGCTCCAGGTTGAGGCATTTTAGTGCTGGTGACCTAAAAATTTCTATGTGCTTAGGTTTGAAAAGCAGGTCAGGAGTTGGCTTTTCAGAAAAGTAGGATTGCAGTTTGCAAGAGATAATAGAGTGACCAAATGCTGTTTCTTTCTCCCTGTCCTTTGTATCCCCAGAACTTGAACATGGGATATGTATTAGATTTTTCATGAACCCCCACTGTTATTATATACTTAGACCAAATAGGTCCAGTTGAAGGACTGCTAAGTACACTGAGCAGAGAGCAACCTCCTTTTAGCCTTCCAAGTATATCTCTAACACTAGCCACTTTTTGCTGCCTCTTAGGAGGATCTTTACCTAAGTTTCTTACCTATTATCAAAGGTGGGATGTGTATTGCAGGTGTATCTTTTCTTCTGGGCTTTTTCTGCTCCAGTTCAGTGATTTGAGAGACTGGTCTCACTCTTTCTCTCTGTGATTTCTCTGTGATACCATACCTTTTCAGCAGATTTTCAGATGAGTCTGAAACTATGGCTGTAAGTAAGAAATAAAGAAAATGCTACTTTAGACTATTTACACTGAAGAAACTTTCACCTGTGTAGCTCTCCCAAAGACTACTCTGAAGTACAGCTGCACAACTGCATGATCTGCTGCATGATGCACCTACCCTACATTTCTTTCAAATTAATTATTTTCCATAGGCTCTAGAAAACAATGTTATCAGGCCAGCTGGCTTCTGATTGTACATAATGCACTAAACTGCAGCCCATCAGAAATCGTGGGACAGATGAGTGTAATCTCCTGTTCCAGAACTTTAGACTTGTTACCACAGTAGCTTAATCACACAGATACTCGAGGTTAATTGGGAGCAATGTGACCACACAGAAGTGGCTGTTTTAACCAGTGAAAGAATGTTTTCTTTATGGTGTGACAATTGCAGGAAGAAAACACCGCTCTCCAGCCTCTGAGCTGCTCTTCCTAAGAGAGAATTGCTAATGGAAGATAAATGTGAAAACTGAACAAAATCAAATTCAATATCTGGATTACAAATACTGGAAAATCCCAGTTGCTTATTTTTGACTTGGTGAATTGTTGCAGATATATGGAGAAGCATACAAGTAGTTACTGGCTAACTCCTCTGTGTATGTGCAGCATGGGAAGAGGAACTCAATAATATAAGAGCACAGCTCTCTCGCTGTAGTTTATAACAAGGAGTACTTGTTAGCTGAGTGACAAACATTTATTCCCACTGCTGTTTTTGGATCATTAGGCGTCAGTGGCAGTCTCCTGCTTATTATTCCCTTCTCCGGGTTGGTGGCATTTGGCTCTCAGACACCTGTATTTGTGCCACAGCAGGGAGCACCCTACAAGAAGCCCCTTCACTAATGTTTTCTGGCTTCCTGAAATGCCTACCCTTTGCCAGAGTCCCCATAAACACATGAGCCCTATGATTTCAAGGAGGAAAATCCTGTAGGTGGCTTGTGTACTTCACCGGTCTACTCCTAGTCTCATCCCCAACCTCCCGCTGTGCACTGGATGCAAGTTTCATGAGAAAGTGCAGGGGCTGGATTTGATCCTTTTTGATTTTGGACCATATCCAATTGGGACATCTAGTATGGCTCAGCAGCTGCCAATAAATACACATAATTTCACATGTAAATCTGACATTATTTATCAGCTCACGGGAGCATGGTTTTCAGAGCATAAACCTATCCACCTTGGTACTCCTAGAAGTGAGATCAAACCCTCCAACTTTCTTTGAGAAAGACATCCAAGAGGACATAATTGAATGAACATTCTGTGGACTTTCACCCAGCTTCAGTCCCTAGAGATGAACTGGGATTTCAAAGTCGAGAGATTTACCACTCACCTGTTAGAGGTGGTGGAGTGTGCAAAGCCGGTGTATCTTTTCTCTTTGGCTTCTTTTGCTCCTGTTCAATCTTCTGGGAAGCTGTGAGGGTTTTACCTTTTCTTGGTTTTTTTTTGAGGTCACAGCTCTTAATCAGCTGCTCTGAAAGATCTTCTGCAGGGAAAAAATACAACAGAAATTGAAATTTAGGGGAAATAAAAAACCTATTTTTTAGGTTGATGGTGAAAAGAATAATTTTGATAATAGTGTTTTAATCCAAGTAAATTAAAATTCCCAGGAAGAAAAATCTCTTAAATATTTAGAAAGCAAACAAAAGAGGGTTCCTTTCCATACCACATGGGAGTCAAGTGACTTAGGTAGTCCTGTGTTGCTGGCAGTAGACATAAAATGGAGACAGAGAGTTGTGGGCAGCTTGTGTGTTTACATGTCAGAGGGAAGGCTGCATCATTGTGTGCAGAGGTTCCATGGCCACTCCTGTTTCATCCAGTGGTAACTGTGTGCATTGTGTCTTCAAAACCAGTTTTGTGAAGGAAAGTTTTACATGTATAGGGTCAGTCTGAGGTACTGGTAAAATGAGGCAGTCAGTATATTGTTCCCTTCAAGATTCAACTTTGTTTCCAGAGCTACTGAGAAACTGGTATTTGCTTTTTATTTACATAACATTATGGTGAATTTTTGGTTTCCCTTTAAAATAATCCTTTACTCGGATGACTCAGAGTAAAAAGTCAACTTGACTTTTTCTGCAAGAGTCTGTATTTCTGGATGCTTATGCAAGCTGAAAATACTGAAGATAGCTTGTTGTGGTAGTACATCCCCCTCCCTCAACTCCTCTTTAGGCCTGCCCTGCAATCTCAGCAGTTTCTGATAAGCCTTAGTTGAATCAGATGAGTGGTGGAGTGCCCCTTAACTGTGCCAGCTGGGTGGTGAAGCATCCATGACCATACTGGGTGCTCTTGTATGGTAAAGGTAGGAACTATTCTGACCATAGCAGGAACATCAGCAGTCTGGCCAAGGCAAGGAACAAAGGAAAAGCAGTCATTCTTATTGGCTTTGATAAGTAATTTACCTGAGTCGTAGCCTAACTGAAATGGTACCGAGATGTTATGAGACCTCTTGGAAAAATGTATTGTTGCCTGAGTGTAATAGCACTAGTTTTACTGGGCTTTTTGGGAAAAATCATCTTGTGATGTGACAAACAGCTGTGTAAAGTGAGGCTGTTTGATCTCTCCTGGAATACAGTGGGGCTCTGATGGGGATGCCTCTTAGAGCTTGCAAACCCTCAAGTTTGCAATATTTGAAAGACTATTGCTGACAATGTGACAATGAGGTCTAGGCAGATACACCCCCCCCCCCCCCCC